CCACAGTTACGATCTCCTCCCGAGTGACAATGAATCAAAACAACAATGTCAGTCATGTAGCCTCGCCACGTCAGCAACAATACACGTGGCAGCGGCCAAGTCAGCGACGGCGTGTGGCAGCGGCCACGTCAACGGCGCCACGTGGCACGTCAATCGGTCCTCATCAGCAAACTGGACCAATGTAGATATCAAGAAAACCAGGTATGTATCTACAATCGGCCCACAATTACGATCTCCTCCCGAGTGACAATGAACCAAAACAACAATGTCAGTCATGTAGCCTCGCCACCTCAGCAACAGTACACGTGGCAGCGGCCACGTCAGCGGCGGTGTGTGGCAGCAGCCACGTCAACGGCGGCGTGTGGCAGCTGCCACATCAGCCTGCCCAGAAGACGATTGCCAGCCAGCCACCATGCCAAGCCAGCAGCACGTCACCGTAGTCGTCCAAGTGCCAACGTAGAGCCAGCGTTCAGCCAGCGGCGCAGCGTCGCGCTGGCGTCGTAGTCAATGCGAGAAGTCAGCATTGACGCAAGACATCATGTTCTTCAAGCCAGGACGTCCAGGCTTATGTAGCGTTGATGTGGGGTCTTGGCCCTGATTGCTGCTTCCCTCGGTCGTCGAGATCTCAAGGCAAACGACGGCCCAAATAGGCCTGAAACCGAACTCCCTGTGGCCTTGATGTTGCCTGGGTACCTGCGCACAATTGGGGAATGCCATGATGTTGAGGGACACGTTGGTTTTAAGAAGACGTGTGTTGATGTAAGAGAACGCTTTGAATGGAAAGGAATGAAAGAGGAAGACGTATGTTGATGTAAGAGAACGCTTTGAATGAAAAGGAATGAAAGAGGATGTACTAATCCATGTGCAGACTTGTCTCGTTACATCAACGCTTTGAATGGGAAGGAATGAAAGAGGATGTACTAACCTATGTGCGGACTTGTCTCTCGTCTGTCAGAGAAACAAACCCTCGCATGAGAATCCGTTGGGACTGTTGAGACTACTTCCTATTCCAAGTGAGCCAGGCGAGTTTATTTCCATAGACTTTACGAGTCTCACTAAGAGCCGAAACGGCAACAGTCAGATAATGGTTATAATAGATAAGTTCTCAAAATATGCTATGTGCATTCCTTTGCGTGCAGAAGCTAGAACTTAGCTGGTCATCCAGAAATTTCAGATCCGATGGGTTTTCGAGTATGGATTCCTGAAATCCATTGTTTCTGACAACGATGTTCGGTTCACAGTATACAACTACAGAAGGTGATGGAAGTCTATGGTACTAGGTTGATCATGTCGTCAGGCAGACACCCTGAAACGAATGGCCAAACTGAACAGATGAATCATCTATGCCAACAACTCCTGTGCATGTAGGTCTGACCCGATCAAATAGATTGGGATGACAACTTACCTAAGATTCACAAATGGTTAAAAGGTACCCCCACTTTTCACCCCTAGGGTAACCTTCACAACCCTGAAAAGTGCAATGCAAGAAGTGCACTCTACAGATTGGTGTGAAGTATGGTTAAAATGGCCCTTTGGTTTTCTTATAAATGGGGGTGAAAATTGGGGGGTCGGTTAACCTTCTATCACTTTTCCTGGGCGCTTCGTTGGGCGCCCCGGGCGCCTCGCCCGGGGTACCCCGGGCATGAAAAAAATCCACCAAATTTTTATTTTTTTTATTTTTTTGGTCTACGTTGGTTTGCTGCGCTTGCCAAGTACTGCCCAAATCCGGCCTCATTTTTTTTTTCATGCATATTGGTTTCTGTGTTGGGGGGTTGGGGGGTTGGGGGGGGGGGGGGGGGGGGGGGGGGCTATGGCGGGAGAGAGGAGGGAGGATGGCAGGAGGAAGGAGGGACTATGGTGGGAGGAAGGAGGGAGGAGGGGGGACTATGGCAGGAGGTACGAGGAGGTAGGAGCAGGACTCTACCGAAGATAAGAGGTAGTAGCAGAACTCTACCAAAGGTAGGAGGTAGGGGCAGAACTCTACAGAGAAGAAGGAAAAAAGCAGAAGAAGAAGAGGACTATGGCGTCCCAGAAGGAGTGCAGAGAATAAGAAGAGGAAGAAGAAGAAGATGAAGGAGGGAAGAAAAAGAAGAAGAAGAGGGAGAGAGTAACAAGAGGAGGAACAACAAGAAGAGGGAGAAAGTAACAAGAGGAGGAAGAAGAACATGAAGAGGAAGGGAAGAAAGAGAGAGGGAGCCTATGGAGGGAGGAGGAGGGGGAAGGGAGACTGCTGGAGGGAGTCTAACGAGGGAGGAGGATGGGGAAGGGAGACTGATGGAGGAGGAGGGGGGAGGGAGTCTATGGAGGGAGGAGGGAGGCTATGGCAGACGGAGCCAAAGCATAATCAAGAATTCCCCCCCCCAAAAAAAAAAGATGATCATTTGTTGATGAAGCTATGGAGGGAGGAGGGAGGCTATGGCTGTGGCGGAGAAGGAAACAGGGAGGAAGAAGAGGAGAGCAGAAGAAGAATCAGAAGGAGAAGAAGAAGAAGAAGAAGAAGAGGTGGCAACAACAAAGAGAAGAAGAAAAAAAAGAACCCATGAAGAATAAGAACAAATAGAAGAAGAAACGCCAAAGAAAAAAGAGAAAAGAAGACAAAGAAACAACGAAGAAGGAAAACAACACAATGCAATGGAGGAGGAGAGGAAGAAGAATGAGACAAAACAAAGAAGAACAAGCAAAGACGTAGTAAAGATAAAGAAGAAGTGGAAGAAAAAAAGAAGAAAAAGAAGAAGAAGAAGAAAAAAACTTACTTGAGTTGGCGATGACGGCGCAGGCAGTCTTCGTCACTGGCAAGGAGGATGGCGAGGCTGGACGGCGACGATGGTGGCAGGCCGGACGGCAGCAGGGTGATGACGATGATGGCTCGGCAAGGCGACGATAACAATGGCGCGGACGACCACGGCAGGGCGATAACGGCGAGGAAACAACGAACTGGTGCAGGGGGGGTAGGGCAGAGGGCGGGTGTGGCATACTGTGCAGCCACACGGGCCTTGCAGGGCCCGTCCCGGACCTCCAGCCTGTTTCCCTACAGGGAAACTTC